ACTTTTTTTATTTTGTTCTGCGAAATATGAAATTGACTTAACTCTGAATTTCATTTTATCAGTTCACAATGCTTAGAGTTTTATCAAGAAATCATTTAGTCTGTTGACTCCACAAGATATTTTTCATTCTAGCTTTTTGACATGATATTCCACGAAACAATATCAGAGTTCTTATTTGTATTTGCAGTGCCCATACATGCAATTGGGGACAAAGCTAATGACATGCTACTGGATATGGTTAACAGGGTTGTTGATTTAAATGGGGTGAAGGACTGTAGATTCTAGGTATGTTCTGATAGCTATTTCAGAATTGTTTCTTTTCCTCGCACTCTGCTTAGTATTTATTTATTTATTTTGGAACGAACTCGCTCTGTTTAGTAGAATCTTAATTGAATATTTGCATATGTAATCAGATTGAGCATGCCCAACATCCGGCTCCATTGCTACTATATATATTGGTATTACGCTTTACAAAGTAGATTGTGCATTGAAAGCTTGAGCTTCTGAATTCCTTTTAAGAGTCCTCCACTTCTGAAGTATCTGTTTATTGTTGACAGCCAGATCATCTATTAGACGACGCCAACTCTGCTAGAAACAAGATTGGGGTGGAACGAGCTCAGCGAAGCTCCTACACATTCCAATCACTGTTAGATGGCGGTGCGCTGCTAGCTTTTGGTTCTGACTGGCCTGCACGTAATTCTGCAGACATTTCAGTAACTGAACTCTGTTTTTCAGTTATCATATAGTCAGCTACCAGGTATACTATTACTGTCTTTCAGGTTTCAGACGTCAACCGCATACAAGCTATCCGAACTGCCATGTTCCGTAAGCCTCCTGGATGGGAGGTTCCCTGGATCCCTGCGGAGCGCTTGACCCTTGATGAATCACTGAAAGCGTAAGTCTCTTTCGATCCAGTCATTGTGATGCCAAGCTCTGCAGATCGATGGTTTTCCCCGCTAATGAGTTGGTCTCTCACTCTGACGAACACACAGGCATACAATGTCTGCTGCCTACGCCTGCTTCTTGGACTATGCCGTGGGCAGCCTTGAATCATGGTCTTACTGAATATGTATGTATGCTGTTAGTGAATAGCTTCTCTAATTGAATCATTGTCTTCCTGAGTTTGTGAAAATAAGTATGTGTGCTGTTAGTGCCATCTCATAATTTCTCTCCTTCCAAGAGTCTGGCTAAGTGACCCGTCTGTCTCTGAAATTGCAATGCTGGCTACCAACTGAAGACTGTATGTACACAAATATTGTTCCTTGCAATCTTTGAAAGAGGATAAAATTCCGGCTATATATGCACCCAAAGGTCTGTCCATAAAGGGTTTTGCAGTACACTCTTAATGTTTCCTCATATTATGTGTAATAACCATATCTCTTTTTGCAGGATTTTTTGCGCCAGAATAACACAGGAAAAGTTACTATGTCAAGTATTTGGCATCCAAGCTGCACAGAGCATGAGGATATCATGTGGGATGCATTTCAGAGTTCATGTGATTTTAGAACCATCCTTATTTTCTCAAACATATAAATTGTTGAATAATAATGTTTTAAGAGCTTGCTAGACCTTGATTTAGTCATTTTTCTGTGTGGTAGTTTAGATTAGCTTTCACTTGTTGTAATTGATCCTTTCAAGAGCTGTAAATTTCTTGTTAGGTGAGCAAAGCATACTTTGTCAAGGATTCCTTTTTTGCCTTTGAAAAAGGTCAGGATTCTAAAAGAATTTCAGACCTTGTGTAGTTTCAGTTCAAGAATTTCCATCTTCAATATAGCTAAATAATATTATATTGTTATGTTTGATATTATCACACTGCAGCTATTGTGCATGGAAAAAGCACTAGCTAAGCTCGTTGATAAGTAAGGTCTGAGAAGAGGTTTACGCTATTTTTGACTAGCTATCATTATAGGGATTAGCACTACCTATTAAATCACTCTATTCTTAAATACAAGTAGTAGCTTGTCCGTTTGAGTCTCTATTTGCAGGTGACATTACTACATTAGCAGCATATGTATTTGGTTCTAATAAGTTCTGCAGTAGGCGACCTCCGTCACCACCATGCATGGCCGTCCTGGTGTGGCGAACGCGACTAGGAAACCTAGGGGTCTTCTTCGGGCCCGGCTACGTGCAGCGCATGTCCTTCGACGAGGCGGAGCTCGCCGTGGGGTTTTAGGGTCTCTACAGGCTTGTGATGGCCGGAACGGAGCTTGCCGTGGTGGTGCTCCGGCCATGGCGAGCCTTCGGGGCGGTTTACTGGCACCGGCGTTCCAGAGCGTTGTGGGCTCGACAAGGCCGTGCTTGTGGTGCTCGTGCGAGTGCGAGTGTGCATGTGTGCGTGTTATGCACCGTGACAAAGAAAAAGGCAGGGCCTTGGGCCTCTTAGGTGGAGAGACCACGACGGCATCCATGGCAAGCACATACCGACGAGCGAGGCAAGCGTGGGGGCTCACTATGGGCTTGAGGTGGCTAGAATGGCGGTGCAGTGGCGAGGTGTGGCTGTGTGTTATCTTATTGTGCGATCTGTGTGTTTTTAGTACAAAAGTTTTTATGTCCTATAGCAACGCACGGACATGCTACCTAGTCTTCGTAAAAGCAATGGGCTTCGTACACACAGCTACTTGACAGTTAACACCCTAAAATTGCATCCTTTTCTCGGACATCACCTTCTCTCTACAGTTGCATTCTTTTCCGGAAAGAGTGAGTACAAAACTTCTATTTGGGTTAATATATTCTAGTAGGGGTCACCCCTCCTGAGCCTTTCAAAAAAAATGTATACACTCATTTATTATACGAGTTGATCAACGGACTGAGAAAGTGGCGCCTACGTTTTTTTTTCTGAAAAGAAAACAACTACTAGCGAAATCGAGCTCGACGTCAAATTCGGAAAGTGTATTAACGTGAATTAAAAATTTGAAGCACACTACGGTGCATATTGTGTCCGCGCGCATCGCTGGTCCATGGTATAATACACTTTCATGCAGACAAAGAGATCACATTGCGATACTACTGCTCCTACGACCACACAATGAAACAATGCTAGAAAAATGAGACAATTGGCAACGACATCCAGCACTATGAAACCCACCGTCTTGAATCTTGGACTTGCCCGCCCGCTGGACCTAGCTACATCAAATGGACCCGTTCTAGCGCCATTCCTACTACTACTACACTCGTAGTAAAGCAGAATCGGCCGGAAATTGTCTTTGCTTCGTTCCTTTGGTTTCTCCAATTGGCCACAGGTGAGACAACGCCCCATTCCATCTTTTGTTTACTGAATCCACAATTCCACATACGGTAGGGATTCCTTCCTTGACACACACGCCGAAGAACCCAAATCCGTCATTACTGGTCTCAATCACTACCCGACATTACGCTGCGCGATTCCTCCCGAAGATTTTAACAGGCAGAGACCACAGACCCCCAGATCAGACGTCTGGATCTCTCACGCATCAGCATCGTTTATTACGCAGTTCATTTACAGCCACGGAAGGTTCGGCCGGCCGACGAAGGGGGTGCTGATCGGGCGAGCACTGGCGACGAGACGAGACCTTACGTGGATCTGCTGGCGGCCACGGAGCGGGCAGCCAGCTCGCAGCCGCGTCCGCGCCCCGTGCCCGTGCCGGTGTCGTGGCCATTAGGCTGCCAGTTTCGGTTGATCGGCGGCGGTCGTGTGACAGGACCTTTGTGCGCCGCATTAACGCCGGCCCGCGGGGGTCATGCGGCACAGCGGTGGGACTCACTGGCCGCTTTCGGCTCTTTTATGGCGACACAGCCCTGGCTTCGGGGTCCATCCATCCCAATCCCATCCATTGGCCGCGTCCGGCTCAGTGGCTTCCACTACTACTCCTACTCCTACAGTGCAGGGATAGGTCGTTGAAGTGGTCGGCGGCGAGATCGCAACGGCCCAGGTGACGTCGCTTTTGACGCGAGAACGGGAGTACTGGACCGCGATCTCTGCTTCTTCTTTCGTCCTGTCTCGTGTCACGGTCGGAGCCGTGACACGGTCCTGGTAATAGTCGAGTGCTGTGCAGTCCAGTGCAGGCACGAGTCATGGGGGTGCGCGACTTCTCTTCAGGTTCATCAGCTCTTGTCCACGTCGTCGTCCGTCACGCTCTCTTCGTCTGTCACGGAGTTGGCCGTGTGGTCTCTCTCTTCCGCCAGCGGCAGCATTGAGCCGTTGACGGTTTGTTTTGGTGTCGATCACGCCATTGACGAACGATACGTTTCTGTCTGGTTGATTGATGGCCCAATAGTAACATTGATAGGCGGGGCTGCGTGGGCTGATGATCGGGCCTAGTAGCGACAAGGTCGGGCAGGCATCACTGATGGATGCGAGACTAGGCCTAAAAGTGAAAGCATGTTGCCACAATTGTCTCAGATCGGTCGCACACAAGCAAGACTGGGCATTTTGCTCAAAAAAGCAAGAAGATTCAAAACCCACGACCACCGACGCGTCTCTCACTCTCTACGACGTGGACACATGGTAAACGTGTGCAGCTGTCGAAGAAACAATCATCGTTTGTAGAACCGGAATGCTCGTCAGAGAGTTCGTAATCAATCACTTTGTTTATCCAAAAGACAGTGACATCGTCACGGCACTCTGTGCACAAAAGTTCCTCGCATTTTGTTTACAAAATTGCAAGCTGAGATCATCGAGTTTGGACAAAACAGAACCGGCGGGACTAGGAGACGCAGGATTCAAACGCACGAGCGCAAGTCTGTAGCAGGCGGGATATATACGCCATCAGTCCTTCTTTTGACGCGATCGCGCCGCTCTTTCATTCAGGCCGGCCAACTCTCCCAAGGTATAAGTAAGTAATAACCATGGTCCATAGATGGCTAGAGACGCAACACATGCAACTGCATGAAATACTGCTGTGTCTGTGTGTTACTACATCTCAATTGGTCACAAGAATTCCGTCCATCTACGCTCTACATCAGTGGCTACAGCTCATCATTACAGGAGACAGGAGAGCAAGGATCCTTAGTGTGATAGATAGATGGGGCAAGACGACTACCTGTCCCTGTGCCTCGCGGCGCTGGTCGCCGCGTGCCAGCAAGCCGGCGCCGGCGACGCGCCACCGTTACGCGCGAGGGCGGCGTCGTCGTCTGAGCTCCCGCTCCACTTCCGCTGCCCGATCTGCGGCAAGGCGTTCGCGTCGTACCAAGCGCTCGGCGGACACAAGGCAAGCCACCGCAAGCCGCCGGCGGCGGCGGCGGCATACGATGGCAGGGCGCCATCGTCGTCGTCCCAGCATCAGAAGGGAGCCGCGGAGGCGTCGTCGTCGTCTGGGAGCCGCGGCGCCGGGCGGCACGTCTGCACGGTGTGCCACAGGTACTTCGCCACAGGACAGGCGCTCGGCGGGCACAAGAGGTTCCACTACTTGCACGGCCCGTCGGTGCCGGCCTCGCTGCCGCCCAGCAGCACTGCAGGCGCGGGCGCGGGTTGGCTTGACCTCAACTTGACGCCCCTTGCGCCGGACGTTTCATTCGCCGGCGTCAGACGACGGAGCGAGGATGACGAGGAGGTTCAGAGCCCCTTGCCTTTGCAGCAGGCCAAGAAGCATCATCGGGCGTCAGATTCTGCGTGAACTAACTGAAAAGCCATGCAAGCATGCAGTCGGGAGACGAAACAATGACTGCTGAGTAGTGGCTAAATCGAATAAAGATGGTTTGGATAAAAAGTTCATAGATGCTAAGATGCATGGCATGGAAAAAAAAAACATGCTACGGTTCTCATGCATGTATTTGGTACTATATATACCCTGCAAACTTTCCCTAGGGCTTTGGATAGGGGACAAGTTAATGAATGTATATAGCTTTGTGTTTGTACAACTTATTGGTGGCCAACGGACATTTGACATAGTTCATAAATATTTTGCGTCCAGATAAATATTTGTGCAAATATTAAGATGTTTTTACTAGTTCTTCGTTAAAAGTGTAAATTTAACCAAGGATAGCCTAATCTTACATCTATAAAGGGCGATTGCTTTCATTCATCTCTCAGGATAGCCTAATCTTACATCTATAACGGGCGATTGTTTTCATTCGTCTCTCACTTTTTTTCCCGTTGTGGCGTTGTCGATTACTCACTCTTGGCCTAGCTATCCAAGCCCGCTCGCGTCCTTCTACCTTTTTTAAACTCATGATTAGTGCATACAATAACCAACTATTTAAGTTGAGTCAATCTTCACTTAATTTTTCATACGAGAATAATCTTTTATTACACTAGCATTTATTATTGGTGTTGGAATTATTTGTTTTAAGGTTGGGTCAACCCAGTTAAGTCCAACAACAATTGCTACCTTATTATCATTGGCACGAGCACCGCACGATAAATTATACATCCGAACATATTTGCTAATTAAGTAAAATTGTAAAGACAATGAAAATTGTTGTTTTTATTATAACAAGAATATATCCAACCTTTACTTTTTTATTGTAACGTTCCACTAGTTATTTGGACAACAAATCAAATTGTTTTTGGTCTACCACAAAATATAACTAATTTATCTGGGAATGGTTATAAGGAATAGAGAATAGACCTAAAATTATGCCTCCAAAAGTTTGTGTCGCGTGACAAACTTTGTTGGTCTATCTTGTTAAATATAAATGATTAGTGACAAAAACAAAATTGTCCATCTTGTATGCATATTCATCTTCGAAGGCTACACAATAGATTTACTTTTGGACATAGTTACAAACTAGGAATTGGTATACATCATGTGCCTATTTTATGTGTTTCTCTCGGGCGACGAATCATAGCCATTGGATCTTAATAGTATGGCTATGGAGTTATCTTCAAGCTCCGATCATCTTCTTCATCGTGCGTGGATGCGAGTCCACGAGCTAGCCCCCGCCTGCCGCCGACCTGCCTCATCCTTGGTGACCTTCTAGTTGCCATGTCTGGCTCCACTGCCCTCACTATACTAACTCGGCGTGTCTTCCCCACCCCTCCCTGACTCAATCGTCGTCCAGCTCACCTCTCCGCCTTGTATGTCGCCACGTCTGCCTCCTTCGCCTAGTCAGCCTGTCTCCCCCCAAGCCCTTTTCTAAGGTGGCATGACACATTTTTTATTTTCCCTAAGGCAAATCTCCATCCCGAATATGAATCCGCCGCCTCAGAAGAAGTGGTTGTGCCATATGTTGAAAACAAATGGTTACGAAAATGTTCACTAGTGGATGTCTTACAATTTGGCGCTTAGTTTTTGCCGTTTGAGTTTACACTGTGTTCAGCAATTTGTTTTGTTGTTTTTTAGGTTCTGCTTACTGACGGGACTCGGGAGGCTGGAACTTGTAATGTTAGCTGGTTGAATGCCTGAGTGCATAACTTGTGTAAAAAAATATTTTAAAAAACATTCGTCTCATAACGTGCTAAATTTTTTGATGCACCGGTCAGTGGCCCCTGGCCACTAGCCAGTGACAAACTTCTCGAAATCTGTCTACGCCCTTGCCTCTCAAGTCTCAAGCCAAAACAGACTCCTTCCAACAAAAGAAAAACCGAAACAGTCCCTCAAAAAAAAAACCGAAACAGACTGGCCGGCCCGTCGCAACTAGCCCATTACAGCACACTCCATTGCCGCATTTCGGCCTCCAAGCGGCCGGGAGCCCAGCACCGGCATATCACCGGGCCGCCGGCTCCCACCACTCGCACCGCGCCGCCGCCAGGCGCCAGCGTTTGCCGACTTGCCGTGCCATATCCTCTCGTTCCCATGAGCGGCCGCGGCGGTGCCACTGCTACCCCCACCGGCCGTAGATAACCCCTAAAACCCGCCGGTTCCCAGTTCCCACTGGCCGCGCCATGGCCGAAACGCTCGCCCTCCCGCTGCCCCTCCGAGCGCCAGCGCCACCGCCGCGTCCTACAATCCCCAACCCCTTCATCACCCACCGCCAGCCTCACACGCCGTCCTCCTCCTCCCCTCCTCGCCTCTTCTCCCCGACCTCCCTCCTCTCCTCCTCCCGCAAGCCGCGCCTCGGCCGCCCGCTCGACACCTTCCGCGGCGACCAGCCGTGGCACCTGCCGCCGTCCCTCTCCCTCCCCGCCCGCCGCGCGCTCCTCGCCCTGCTCGCCGACCCGGCGGAACACGCCTCCCCGCGCGACGTCCTCTCGGCGCTCCCCGAGACCGACCTCCCCGCCGTCGTGAACACTCTCGCCTCCCGAGGGGGCCACCCCGACGCTGCCCTCGCCGCGGTCCGCGCCGCGCGAGACCTCCACGGTGGCCGCGCTCTCCACCACCCGCGCGTCCTGCCCACTGCCATCCGCGTGTTTGCGAGCGCCGCCTGCCTTGCCGAGGCCTCCGCTCTCCTCGAGGCCGCGCCGGCGCCCGACGCCAGCGCATACACTGCGCTCGTGTCCGCGTTCTCCCGTGCTGGGCGGTTCCGGGACGCGGTCGCCGTGTTCCGGCGCATGGTGGATGGCGGCGTGCAGCCCGCGCTGGTCACCTACAACGTCGTGCTCCATGTCTACGCCAAGATGGCTGTCCCATGGAAAGAGGTGGTGGTGCTCGTGGACTCCATGAAGGAGGACGGCATTGAGCTGGACAGGTATACATACAACACGCTCATTAGTTGTTGCCGTCGAAGGGGGCTTTACAGGGAGGCAGCGCAGGTGTTCGATGAGATGAAGGCTGCTGGATTCGAACCTGACAAGGTCACATTCAATTCCCTGCTGGATGTATATGGTAAGGCACGGAGGCATGAGGAGGCGATTGGGGTGCTAAAGAAGATGGAGAATGTGGGATGTGCACCCAGCGTGGTGACCTACAACTCACTCATCTCGTCTTATGTGAAGGATGGGTTGTTAGAAGAGGCTCTGGAGCTAAAACAGGAGATGGAGTTCAGGGGGATGAAGCCGGATGTGGTTACATACACGACATTGATCTCTGGCCTTGACAGAACTGGCAAAATTGATTCAGCACTTGCTACATACAGTGAAATGGTGAGGAACGGATGTAGCCCGAACTTGTGCACCTACAATGCATTGATCAAGATGCACGGGGTGAGGGGAAAGTTCACAGAGATGATGGATGTCTTTGATGACCTCAGGTCTGCTGGTTATGTGCCAGATGTTGTCACCTGGAACACACTCTTGTCCGTGTTTGGGCAGAATGGTCTAGACTCTGAGGTTTCAGGGGTGTTCAAGGAGATGAAGAAAGCTGGTTATATCCCTGAGAGGGACACATATGTTTCACTGATTAGTTCATATAGTCGATGTGGTTTGTTTGATCAAGCAATGGAGATATACAAGAGGATGATAGAAGCCGGTATATATCCAGACATTTCGACCTATAATGCTGTTCTGTCTGCATTGGCTCGGGGTGGTCGCTGGGAACAGGCAGAAAAGTTGTTTGCTGAGATGGAGGATCGGGATTGTAAGCCAGATGAGCTCAGTTATTCCTCATTGCTTCATGCATATGCTAATGCTAAGAAGTTGGACAAAATGAAAGCTTTATCGGAAGATATATACGCAGAGAGGATTGAACCACACAATTGGCTAGTAAAAACATTGCTCTTGGTCAATAACAAAGTTAATAATTTATCTGAGACAGAAAGGGCATTTCAGGAACTGAGGAGGCGGCGTTGCTCCCTGGACATTAATGTTCTTAACGCCATGGTATCCATCTATGGGAAAAATAAGATGGTTAAGAAGGTGGAGGAGGTCCTTTCACTCATGAAGGAGAATTCGGTCAACCACAGTGCTGCAACCTATAACAGCTTGATGCATATGTATTCTCGTTTAGGTGATTGTAAAAAGTGTGAAGCAATCCTCGTTGAGATCAAGTCAAGTGGCATGCGTCCTGATCGATACTCTTATAACACTGTGATATATGCATATGGAAGGAAAGGACAGATGAAAGAAGCCTCAAGGTTGTTCTCTGAGATGAAATGTTCAGGCGTGAAACCAGATATTGTAACATACAATATTTTCATCAAGAGCTATGTTGCCAACTTAATGTTTGAAGAAGCTATTGATTTAGTACGCTATCTGGTTGCCCAAGGCTGCAAGCCGAATGAGAGAACTTACAATTCAATATTGCAGGGCTACTGTAGACATGGAAGGATGGTAGAGGCCAAATCATTCCTTAGCAACCTTCCTAAGATTTATCCTGGAATATCAAAAGAAGAAAAACATAGACTGTCAGAGCTGTTGGCAGAACACACTTCGTAAGATGGTTGATAAGAATCAAACCCTTTTTGTGCGCATGATAGGTAGATACTACTAAGACTAAACTTTTAGTTGTCCTTAGCGGCATGTACATTGGAGTGGACTTGTATAGATTACATGTGTTCTGATTCTGAAAAAGAATTGAAAGAAGCCATTAAATGCATACAGTTATCTGTTAAATTTGCAGGTCTGGTGTTGTAGAATTTCCATAACAAATGAGCCACCTTGTTTCTGTAATGACATTTGACATTTCGAACCTGATCTGTTCGAGGTTTTACCTATAAGCATTGTGTTATGTGCTGACATTGGTTGCCTTATTTTTGTAAAAGTGCAGCTTAAATTTAGGGTACCTAGTTCAATTTGTATGTTATGTGCGTTCCTTAATTGTTTTGTAATTATATCTCTCTATTTATCTTTCACAAAAAATATAAATGGCGTTTGCGTTTTAATGGAAAGGTAAAAACGAGTTTATGGTGCTACATCTGATTTTCTATTTCAATGAAGTTATCATAAAAGTTCTGTAAGTTCTTAGTCAATGTATAAATTCAAGGGACTGTACCACTTGTAATCCTTGAGTTGACTTTGTTATAGATCTGATTTTTCACTTGTGGATGCCTGAATCACTTTTTTAAAAAGGGATGCCTGAATCATTACTGTTAGATCTGCATGATTATCAGCAACTTGTGTTTTTTTCTCTTCATATTTCAATGCAGTGAACAATGATATCCTCTGTTGGAGCTCTATGAAACCTGGCCGGTAGATGATGTTTTCAGTAATAGCTTTATTTGAAGGTACAATAAGTCATGAACCTGTTTTAAGTCAAGGTAGGAGCCTCAGCATTTTTTTATGTTTAATTTGCTAAGTCCACTGTTTCATTTTCCTTGTATTATCCTTGTATCTAAATTCAGTAAGAGTTTTCTCAAAGATTGTCCTGGTTGCTGAGGAACCTTTTGTGATGATTGTTGATATCCTTACTGCAAGCTGATGTCTGTCTGTGTACAATGAAATCCGAGTGAAACCGCAGGCATCAGCAATAATGAGGTTATGTATTAGGTCACATTTCGTGAAAAATATATTTCTCGGATGTTGCTCGCACGTTTTGTCTTGCGCAGATGACTAGTCTCATCTGCCAGTGTACTGAGTTTTGAACATGCTGTGTTAGTTCTATGTTTTATCTAGCATGCTTCTTTCCATTACTGTTTTAGTATAGTTATTTATTTTTAAGTGACCATGCATTTTATAAGTTCTGATCTCAAGTACAAATCATAGCATCAGTCTGTATAGTATCACCAATACCAATTAGTTACCTTGTTACAACTTACACTATCATAAATCATGGTCTGGAGTTATTCCCTTTTATGAATATTGAATAGCATATGCCTTGTCTGCTCCAAGATAGACGTTTTTATTAGAGATAATGTTTGAACGATACAGTGCCATGCTTACAACATTTATTTTTATATTTTCTATTTTGAAAGTTCCACACATTTTTAGTTGATGTTTGGATTGGGGGACTGCACCAGTTGTAACCTTTGAGTTGACTTACTTTGTTGTAGATCTGTGTTTTCATTTGTGGGACTGTCTGCATGATTATTTTATTAACATCTAGTGGTATTTTTCTTCATATTTGTTGCATGTGCGTAAAACCTAGCCTGAATATGTTGTTTCTAATGATAAGTGGCAATGTATCATATGTGTCTAATGCACATTATTTGTCGGCGCAAGAAGTCATGAACCTGTGCTAAGTCAAGGTAAGAGGTTCAGCATTATTGTATTCTGATTTTCTACATTGTTCTCCTTGGAAGTCCGCAGTTTCGTTTTTCTTGGTGTTATCCTTGCATTTAATTTTTTTAAATGGTTTCTCAAAGATTTTATCCTTGTTGCTGAGGAGCCCTTTTGGGATGATAGTTGATTTCATTATTGCCAGCTGATGGCAGTCTGCTTACAGTGAAATCTGAGTGAGACCACACCATTAGCAATCATGAGATCTTTCATTGGCTGGCATATCGCAAAATTATATACAGTACTGTTTTTCTCTTGGGTGGTGTGTGTATATTTTTAGCTTGAGCAGTTGATTAGTCATTCTCATACTGTTCCAAGGCAGTAGGTGACTAGTCATATTCTAAGTCGTGAATATGTTGCGTTGCTTCTTTGTTTTTATCTAGCGTTGCTTCTTTCCATACCTGTGCTGCTGTGCATAGTCATTTCCCCATTTCCCTTTCAGGTTACCATTCATTATATACGTTTGATCTCGTGTACTTATTACTTTTTTCTTTCCCGAAGAACCTCGTGTACTTATATTATTACAATGGCCCATATATTACTGATACCAACTACTAGTTGCAATCTCCTTAATCATGGGCTTACTGATGTAACTTCGAATTGACCTTAACATGAGTAAGAGAGTTTGAATTATTTTCCGGCCGTTGCCTTTAACTTTTCACTTACATTCACGTGGTTTGCAGACAGTATATTGAATGAGGACGTCAACTTTTGTGACAGGTACGTAGTTTGTTATACAGATTACAGTGACTCAGTTAATGTTGTTGTACCGGATCATGTGTTCCTTACTTTTGCAATAGTGCGCGATCAATACCGATCAACTTTGCGTGCATCTCCAACGGAAGACAACTGATTTATTTGGCCGGTACACATGGCATATGAAGGATGGTAGTGTTCAGACGCTTTCTGAATGAAACATAACTGATTTCTTCAGCTGGTAAGTTTTGTAACGCCGCCGCTGTGTTGATTGATGCTTCGGTTTGCTTTGCAAGGTGTGCCAAACTGTGCGATTGCAACCGAAAGGTGCTCCTGGGTTGTGGGTTCCAGTCTTCCAGGTCCTCCTGCAGTGCCGCCTGTCCCTTGCGTGCTGGCTTGGCCTGCCCCTTGCTCCCTGCTGGTGAGTGCCTAGTAACAGTAGAGGTTGTCAAGAGGCATGGCGGTGGTGAATTGGTGATGCGCTCAAATTCCATGATGGTGTTGGCCATCTACCCTATGAATCATGAGATGTACTGTTGAGTTCCAACTTTCGTGTGCCTTCTTTTGCCGTGGGAATTTTCAGAAAGCAACTTTGCGACAAGCTTTCAGAAGAAAAAAAAAATGGGTGTCATACATGTGTCATTTCTCACTGTCACATACTGAAACTTCTCAGTAAACCGCGACTGATAATAAGCAATTTGAAGATGTTTCGGTTCATGCGGGTAGATGGTGATGACTGGATCTACGTCTCCATCTGGTCCCGACAAAATATTCCCGTGCCCGGGTTCCAGAACGTGAGCACCAAACACCGAAGGGCCCCTTTCCGGTTGCAGGCTGCTGCAACTTGCTTGCTGGTGCTGCAAATCCCCTTTTCGTCGCGGGGGATGAACAATACAACAATAATTGTTGCCTCGAAAGATTTGTTAATGAGGTACCGACACCGGTGGCCGGGTCATCAATGATTATGTATCCCTCCCGTGAGAGACTGAGAGAAGGAATGCGTGCGCGAGGGACGACGCCGGGCCATAACGCCGTGCGCGCAGGAGGAAGAACTGGAGAGAGACGAACCAGCCTGGAACCAACATCCATCTCATGTATCAGCTGGTCGTGTCCTGGCTGGGCTGGGCTGGACCGGACTGCATGCTGCTAGATTAGCAGCGTCCGGCGCAGCGCAGGGGATCCCGGCGTTCGTGGTACTGTCACGAGCGGATTCGAATGGATCCGCGGTGCCAGGGACCTGGCCTGTTCGTTTCTCGTAAACGATCGTAAATTTTTAGTTGAAACAGTATTTTTTCTCACATAAACCAGCCAGCAGTACTTATTCACGAACCAGCAACGAAACGAACCTGCCAACCTTCACTAGGAAAGATCCAGCAGTGATGGCATTATGCCGTGCAGATCAGCTCCTAAAAGATGCTCAGTAATTAGCGCCTTTACGTTAAATGGAGCAGGATCCGATCCAAGTTACAGGCTTGCATCCAACGCCCAACGTGTTTCCAACTTTCCATTCCACGGCCGATGAGGGTGCAAAATTTGGTACACCTGCACACGTCTCGCCTCGCACCGTAGATAGATAGACGACGCTAGGACAGCTGCGTTCGGTTGGTTGCGCGCAGTGGTAGGTGAAAGGCCCTCTTCGAGAGCACACGACCACCAGTAGACACTAGTGGAAATATTAACACGCGTCGTGGCATGGTGAGTGGTGACCACCGGTTCCGCGGCGCTGATCCGTGGTGCACGCCATCGTTGTCGTATGATTGGTAGGAGTACGGCGCACGAAGAGGCTTGGAATCTACGCCTGTTGCCACCTGCGCCAGCTACTCGGCTTTTATTTGTTTTTCTCATTCATGCCACTAATTTTTTTTTTTCTAAATTCGTTCCTCCGTCACCGACACTCCTCACCCCATTTCAGTGCCTTGATGTTTGCAGGAGGACTCGTAACTGCTAGTAGTGTACAGAAATGTACTAGCTGCGTCGTCACACGCGCTGTAGATAGTAACCTCTGCCACTGCGCATATACCACCAGGCAGCACTGGCTCTGATACTCAGATCAGCATTTGGCTGGCCACAGGCAATCAGGCACACAACTCGCTATCGCGACACCAGTGCCCAGTGGCAATGCTTGTCCTTGTCCTTCGCAAAGGTGCAAGATCGCAGATCCATAGCGTGAGCGAGCGAGCATCGCGACATGTTGGTGCAGCGTTTCGTCCAAACAAGCAAAGCGACGCCAATCAACAAACACATTCCAACAAACACATCTTGCCAGCGGGATGCCAGGCCGTTCCGGACAGGGACATGAATGAAGAAGACGGATCTCGTCTTATGATTGAAAAAAAGGGATGCTCATGCATGGACGGGGATGGTGGGATCATACAATGGCAATAAATCATCTCAATGGGGTCGCAATAGTACAGAAAAGAAGAGAAGAAGAAAGAATCCGAGGCGACGGTGGTACGTCCGCACCGCACGCACCTATCACCGTCACCGAACGTGAGTGGCACTGCACTAGTCACTACTACACACGAGGCCCGGCCGGCCCGGTTAAAAACGGACAAGAATACAGCGCGGCGGAGACGGGTGGCGTCCTTGGATGCGCCCCGGCCAGCGGGGTCCGAAAGGCACGGCGCACCGGCTGCATCGTGCATCCGCGTCAGAATTCTGTCGTCGTCGTCGTCGTCGTCGTCCCGGCGGACCCGGCTGGTGCGGTGCGGCCGTGCAGGCGCCACCCGCTCACGCGCGCCGTCGGCGTGCGCCCCGTGCCTAGGCGAGTAGGGCCACGAGGCCCAGCGCGGCCGCCATGATTCCGCCTGCCACGGTCCTTCCAGCAGCCTGCAGATTCACCAACAACGAGGCATTCGTCAGAGAGCGACGTAGCCATACCAGTCACGTGATCATGTAGCAGTGTCTGTAGTTAACAGTAGAGCTACTGTACTGTACAAAACTCTACACTTGCACTCCTGTCTCCTGTACATACAATACAATTTGTATACTGTATATGTTGTTGCCTGACTTTTTGTGCACATGGGGCCTACAACTACCTAATGGTGATGATGGTTGCTTAGTACTGTACTGACTGTTATTTAAGGGGGTGTTTAGATGCTTTTGGAATGGCAAAACTTTTATCCCTAATCTTTTGCTATTCAAATTTTTGGCATTTGGTGTTTAGATGCATGGCAAAACTTTAGTCATACAGACACAACACGGGCTCCCAACACGTTTTTTTTTCTCAGTTTTGAGCTTCTTGGTTCCAAATGCCAAAAAATTTACAGCCCAAGTTTTACTGTTTTTATCTATAGTGTTTAGGTCCATTTTGCTAAAAGATAAAATAAAATATCTAAAGTTTTGGTCAAAATGGAAACTAAACAGGCCTAGGTGTGCGAGGAGGCTTCGAGAATGCAGTACGTATTGTTTTGTGACTGCACCGTGCAAATTGCATTTTAATACTACTGTAACAACGTACATGTACAGTGCGTGATGGAATAGTAAATGGTGACAGCTAATCTTAAGTGTCGCAACATTCAAATCCCGCATTAACAATGTCCGTGACGCGGCTGGAAGCACATGCGTCCCATCCCGACATGTCGGCGCAGATTGGATCTACGTACTCAAACAATTCTCACTCGTTATGGTCACAGCCCCACAGGTTAGGTGCTGCTGCTCTCGCTTAAACAATCCATTGTCAAATCAATCCAGCATGACTTTATCTCGGATAAAAATTAGAGCATGGACGTAGAATAACAACACTGTCAGTTGTGAATTCTAACCGTAGTGTTAATTTTTACTCTAATCTCAATGTACTAAAAGCTTAAGATGGAAATTCAGCCACGCAATGGGGGTTGCTGTTGCAGATGGAAATTGGAAAAAGCAGGGCAGAGGGCATCGTACCGCGGTGTCGGCGGCGGCGCCATCGCCGACCGGGCCGGGTGCGTCGGCCTCGCTGGCCGAAGGCGCCTTAGCCTTGGATTTCTTGGTGCTGGCGGGTGCCTCGGCGACGGGGGCGGGGGCGGGGGCCTTGGACTTCTTCTTCTTGTTCTTGGAGTTCGAGGAGGGCTTCTTCTTCTTCTTGGACGGCGCGGGCGCGGGGACCTCGGCGGGCTTGGTGGGCGGGGAGGCGGGGGCGGGCGCGGGGGGCGAGGCGGCGGGGGGCAGCTCGGCCACCGGCGGGGAGGCGGCGGGCGGGGTGGCCTTGGCCTTGGCCTTGGGCGCCGGGGCGGGAGGGGACGCCTTCGGGGTGGACTTGGGCGGCGCCGCGGCGGGAGCCAGGGTGGCGGGCGGGGTCGCGGCGGGCGCCGGGGTGGCCGGGGTGGTGGTGGGCGGCGCGGCGGCCGGGGCCACGGTGGCGGGGGTGGTGGGTGGCGCGGCGGCTGGTGCGGGCGTCTTCTTGGTCGGGGTCGCTGGCGGGGTGGTGGCGGCCGGCGCGGCGGCCGGGGCCGGGGTGCTGGATTTCTGCGCAACGGCTGAGTGCGCGGCCATGAGGCAGAGCAGAGCTAGGCAGAGAGCGCCGGCGCGCGCCATTGCTGCGGCGGTGGTGGTGTGCGGCGTGTGCTCTGCTGCTCTCTGCGCTGCTGCCCCGGGTGCCTCTGCTTCGGCTGTTGAAGTGGCAGGGAGAGAGGGAGAGAGGGAGGGAGGGATAAATAGCAGCGGCAGCCGGCAGGGAAGGAAAGCGAAGGGGGGAGGCCAGCCAGCCAGGCAGGAGAAGCGGCGGGAGATGCCGCCGCGGCATTGCATTTCACAACTGGCGGTGGGCCCGCGGGGCCATGTGGAGGGTGGGGGCACCCGCGCCGGTTGGTGGCACGCGTTCACGTGGGTCGATGGGCCGATGAGTTGTGTTCGTGCTGTGCAGGACGGGGCGAGGGCGACCACTGTGGTTGGAGAGCCGTTGGTTGGGGCAGTCGGTGCAGTGGACACGCACGCGTCGGGACGCAGCGGCGTCCGCGGCCCATAGAGGACCGATGGGAGCTGGGCCCGTTGGCCCGGTTGATGTTCGGGCTGAGTGAAATCGGAATTAAGACGGGTTTGGAAGCGGTAATTATGCGTTTGGTTCAAAGCTGGGCAGCCACAGGCAGCAGCACTCCCAGCCTCCCAGGCGTTGGATCTTGGACGCCTGGGGCCAGATGTGCTGTCTGGCCTGAGTTGTCTGACCCAGGCTCTCATCTAAACAGAGTTAGGGCCTTTTATGTTGCGAGAATGGTGACATGGTCTAGCCCCGAGACACGCAACTTACCGGACACATCCAAAACCTATTTATTTGAGCTATGACCTTTCCTCAAAAAAAAAAGAGCTATAACCGTTGGATGTAAGGAACCGGTTAAGGCCCTCGCTTACCAGGTGAGCTGAATTATATGATAAGTCATCATATGTACGATCAAAGCTGTGCGTTTGGCTGTGCCAATTATTTCGGATAGAACATTTTGCACTGGGACCCCCAGACATTTCCCAAATCTAACCGCAGCAGACTAGCATTATTCTACATTATTCATCTGAGTCTATACTTTTACATCTAGACCCAAGAAAAGAGTTCCTATTTCTTTTTCCCTCCCTTCTCTTGTTGGCAGGTGGTCGGTGGCCACTAAAAATTTCACAACACTAAGAAAAACTAATTAGTGACACAAAGGGTCCCAATATACTACTAAGACTATACTAGGCGAAGATTTATAACCTAGGGTGACTAGTAAACATCGTGAATGAGACTTGAACTGAACTTGAGAGGAAAAGAACACCGAAGTGAAGACACGGTACTTCTCCCCATGGTATCATTGATTTGCCTCTCACGCCTAATCCAGGTGAGTTTAATAGTGTTTACTGTTTCTCTATCAAGTTCTCACTTGATCTCAAAGCCAGACAGAACAAGAGATCCACTCCATGTCTCCTCAATAGACTTGCTTTTTACTTCCTCCGATGGGTGAGTACAACACCCCCTCTCAATCAATCTTGTGTAGCACCAACAGCTTGTTGTGCTTCACGATGCTCCAACCTCCAAGCCATCTAGGAGGCGGTAGGGCAAAGCCAAAAGTTATATATAGAGAGGGCCGGTTAAAAAAATTAGCATATGTGAACTTGAGTGCAGCTCATCTATTTAGATTTTTATGGTGGAACCTGACCACTTGGCTCAGTCATCGATGCGATTGCTCCTATTTTTTTGTATTTATTCTAGCATTCAAAGATTTAGCATTATTATTCTTTCCATGATAGACGGTTGTGTCTGTCAACAGGTGTACGTGGTGACTCATTGATCTTGGAATCTACTAACTTAATATTTCGAAAGTGCTCATAGTGAGGGTAGAGTGTGTGTTTGTTCATAGGTGTGAGTAGTGTTTGTGCATGTATGTGAGTGTCCCCTTATGTACTGCGATTCACAGTAAAAAGAGAGTCGACATAGAATAATAATGTCATCCAATAAGTTTGATGTCAATAAAGTATTAAATATTAGTGACCACTAAATTACTTTATTAGATAAGTACACATTCAGTAAAATGTGAAATATAATAAAATGCAAGTACGTATTTAGTAAGACCTAAAATATCATTAAATGTGTCCTAATATGGTTTAGGCAAACAAGTTTGAATCAAAATATTGAGTGAAAATTTATTGTATATTCTTATACAAATATTGAGTAAAAAATATGTATATTCTTATACAAATATGATAAAAATTTATTGTATATTCTTATACAAATACTGATAAAAATTTATTGTATATTCTTATACAAATATTGATAAAAAAATTATTATATCATCTAAAAACATCATTAAATATATATGATAAAAATTTACTGTATATTCTTATACAAATATCGAGTGAAAAAAATCTGTTGTACTATTGGAGGGGGAGGGGGCATATGACCCTTACTGGCTCCACCTTGGGAGACGGCAACCTCCAAATGTAACAGGACAATGGTGTTTGCTTAAAATCTCACTGGTGCCACAAAGATCACTGCAAAGGCGCAATGCACTAGATGGCTTTCAATCTCGTCAAAGATAGAACGTACGGCTACTCCTTCTGTAACTGTTTTTGCTGTTTCTGTTAGTTTGTGAGAGCGAGTTCTTGCAGCTGCAGCCATCAACCAAGGCAGTCGATCAGGCTGAATGCTTAATCATATGTGGTGAGTCCGAGGTAAAAGAGAGCTTGTGTATCTAAAAAAAAGCCTTTCAAAATGCCAAGAGAGCCCTCGGCCCCTCACAAGGCCGGGGGAGCTTCAAGTTCCTTGCATAACCTAGTCTGATTCGCACCTGCGGCACCAGGCTCCTGCTGGCCAGGATCGACGCATAAACGGAAATTTGTTATCTCCGTTTAGCTCTGATACATAGAGGTGCTGATTGGTTGGACATTTCACGCGCCCGCCTATTCTCACTTGCACGACGCCTATTCTCAGCTGAAACAATATTTTTCTCTCATAATAAATCAGCCGGAACAGTATTTCAGCTTGTTTTTTCAGCGAAGCGAACGGGGCTTTGTTTCCCGGAGCCCTGGCCATCCTCAAATGCAGGCATCCAAACATCGCGACATTGCATCCCACCAGCCTGGTCTTATGTACCCGTCCAAAAATTCGTTGTTGTTGTGCTACCGTGAACAACCTGGTAGGGTGCGGATCATCAGTAGTGTAGGGTACATACTTCCACAGTGCAGGGCTGCAGGCACTGCAGGGTGCGGACCATCCGCAATTCAACTTCTAACAATAAAACATCCACCACTCAATTCAACCTCCTTGACTAGAGTTTCTAGCACCCCTATAAACAAGTCGTGGTTTTTTATGAAAACACTGACAGGCTGTTCGCGGTATAAATTTTCTCACGCGTACTTAAAAACACAACTGCTGGACTTGGAGAAAACGAGACCTGCAAAACGTCCGCCAACCACCGCAGGGACCGTCCGTGGTTCAACTTTGGAGCACACTCAGAAAAACACACTTGTGTCTAGTCTATTTTACAAAAGCGTCGGCCGAGCAATTTCTTTCTTTTTTATTTTACTCTTCTTTTTATGTTATCATGCAATTATGACTTTTTTTTGCTGAGATCTAAAGTATGGCATTGTTATTGATATGGACGTCATGTAATTTAGATCGTTATTAGATCATTATAAAAATCCAACAGTGTGTAATTTTTTAATCTCGTAATGTCTGAAATTTTTAGCGAACATGGGCTTCATTTTAACACTGATGTATACACGTTATTAATTGTAAGATTTCTTCCCCGTCGACAGTTTGCACCGACACAAATCGTTAGCAGTTGGCGAGTCACATATCAAAATTATCGGATAATCAGTCGGTTCTGCCAATGATGGAGTAGCATATAATTGGTCATTTTGCTTTCCTTAATCATCGGTCTTCATTGATACTCCTTTAGCCTGGAACTTTCCTTCGCACATGCCTTGACTGGGAAAGCGGTTGTGTCCTGCTGCTCCGCACGATACGTTTACTGCACATGAGTTTAGCTTGTTCTGTAGTCGGTTAGTCACTAACTCATGGATGGTCGTATTTCTAGCTATTTTTCCTTTGCTGGACGATGTGCACGACTATGCATCAACTAATCTCGTCAATCTAAAGATCTATTGGTCTTCACTTCAAAGGTGTTTATATTGGTAGAGATAGATATGCGTGTGTACTTTTCGAAAGAAAGAAAAAAGATATGCGTGTGTACGTGAGCATAGGCATCTTTACTTGTTTTAGCAAAAGAGAGGGGAAAAAAATGCTTACTGAACTGGGCTGCTCCGAAACGCATCTCAAATTCAGTCCAGTTGAAAACTTCCTCCACAAACAGGCCTAACCATTCCTGATCCCACCCCAAGCGATATGAAACCCATTGGGCCGAAGCCCATGAGCTCTACGAGCTTTGAAAAAGTGAAGTGAAGCACTAGGCAGAGTACAGCGACATGGATAAAACAGGGCGATGATGGATGGGACAACAAACGTGACAGAAAACTTGAGCACTCGCGTCTCGCCGTCTCGGGCCGCACCACCGAGGCCCAGGATAGCATCATAGCACCCGTCAAAATTTTCAGCTCCACTGTATTTCAGGCTTTGGCAGAGCCTGGAGAACACATGGCTTCAAAGCAAGCGCCTGGAGAAGTGGAGACTGGAGAGCATCGGAAAAGGTAGCCGTGCTTCTATGAGCTTGACATCAAAAGCTGACTGACCCAAGGTCGAAACAGACTACGGAGTATGCAGCCTCTGAAAAAAGTGAGCCAAACTTTGGTACTGTGCTACTGTTTGGACACCAGCTTGTCCAAGGAATTATAGCTTTGGAAAGAGAAAATTTCTTCGTTGCCGTCCAAAGCTATATTAATCCGCCATTCAAATTTATATGTTTCTTTGGTTGTTATTGGTTTATATTTTTTGTTCCCTTATTTGCCATTGTCGTCACTTTCTTATTAATCCATCGTATACACCGTTAAAACATGTGGCGGTGCACGCGCTTCCGATCCAAAATCGGCATGTGCGCGCGAAAGATGATATAGCGGACCCGACGCCGAAAGCACCGCCGAACTTCGTGCCGCCAGCGTCTCCGCCGCCCAGCACC